AAAAAAAACACAGAGGTCCGTCTCCAGTACGAAGGTTTTCATGATGAGAAAGAGCAAAGTGGGGACGATTGACAAACCCAGTGGCTGGAGGCGTCGTCTATACTTGAGAGGAATCCTGAAATTCCTCGTGGCTAGATCGATTTCATTTTATTTCTTACTGGTTAGAGGCAATAACAGCACTGACAGGACATACGTAATATCAGTCTTATTGTTAGTAGAGACCAGAAAAACCCTTTGAAACACGTTTACCGACTCAGATGTGAAATGAATACACGGCGTGACATGGGAGAATTGATCAGGCTTTTTGACTGTCATTAATCTTTCCATCAAACTAACAGAGCTGACTTTCTTTCAGCTTTCCCGTAAACGCCATATTGGTAATGATATGGTGACGGTGGTATTCCAAGAGCCTGGAGCTCTACCGTTTTCACCGATCGCCGTTCGAAGTCACTTTCAGCACGTATTTATCATTGTTCGTGTTCATAACGCATGTACGGATAACGTCTCTTATAGGTAAGTCTCTCAGTTTTCTCTGAAAAAGTTATGTTTTTCTCTAATGGCCATTTTTTAGCGTAGCGGTGTCCCGATCGAAAGAAGTACCGGCATTTGGTCCACCCCTTCCGAAAGGTGCCACATTCAGCAAATGTGCCGATTTCCATGATTGGATTCTTACAAAAAGTACCATTTCCTAAATTTTCCTACAGTAGTCCTGCAATCGCTTACACTTCTGTTACAGTAATCAATGCTGAGAATGCGGTGCATCGCTCGAAAAAGTTCGCCACAATGGCTGCTCGTACTAGACGAGAGGCATTGCGAGATCTCGCTGAGAACTATGTCGGGACGCATCAAAACGAAGGGCCAAGTCGGATTGCCAGTAAGTGGTTTTTAGCAATCCTGAGGTGCGATTTGGCATGGTACATTCTGCCTTAGAAGGAGCCTGGACCACTGTTCCTCTTGAGACATTTTGCTTGCCCATCCCACTGCTTGTATCTTCCGCAGTGTCAGCGTCTCCCATTCTGATCCTCAACTCTACTGTTAACCAATTCCAGGTCGCTTCCTGGGTGGAAGTGTGAAGCGTCGCGAACGGCAGAATCCCAAACCATTTCCGGCCAATATCCGCGGAGCTCTTTCGTGGCTAGTTGACGTCCATGACCACTCAATCAATCAGGTGCGTCTAGCATAGGATCGATTTAGTTGAGATTGTAGAAACTGGACACCTCACTCAGTGCTAAATGAGTGCTTATCAGGGGAAATCCCGTTTTTGCCCTCTGGTCACGGCTCCATTGAATGGAAGGATTGTTCCAAAAATGTGCCTAGAGCTCCGCTCAAGGTCGCTGGATGCGGTAGGAGGGGTAATGAGCTAAGGAAAAGGAGGAGTGTGGAGGGGAGACAAAGCCTAACAAACCCTAAATGTCGAGAAAGTGTCTTTCTTTATCCTGCGACTGTCTCGATCGCTGCAGAAATGAGCTAATGAGTGAATACATGAAGTTCAAAGCTATTGATCCTTAGAAGCTCAAAAAGGTGAGGTCAAAGAGTTTCAAGCTTATTGAAGTAAGAAAATATGAACGCGGCAGGTGCCTCGAAAGAAAACAATAAGCGTTCTTTGTGTCTCATGAACTCTTACCACAATGCGCCGTGCTTCAAGACGCTGAGGTGCTGAGAGAGTAGCTATACTCGTAACTCGTCCACTGGCTGAAAACTAAAACGCGGACGTGAAATGTTAGCGATTTTTCCAGTTCTCGCTTCGCAGGTGAACTCTGAAGCGTGCTCACTTCATTGTTCTTGCCATAACTTCATGATAGCCCCGTGTCTTCAGATGCGTTTCAGGGCTACTACTGTTTCTCCTGCCATATTACTTCCAGATTATAAACTTTTTATACCGTAAGTACAAATAAGTTTTCAAGGCTTCAGGCTCAACACGCTCAATTGATTCGTCGCCAGCTATTTAAAAAGGTGGATGATCATTCTATAAACGATTGTTTGTTTTATTCATGGTGAACGATCATACTTTCCAGTATTCATATCGGACAACCTCTACAATGAAGCATGATGTCGTGAAAGGCGATACATACGATAAGTGGGGTAGATCTTGCGCTCAGTTGGTATAGAGATACTTGAGAGGCAGACTACTAGATAGCATCATTCAGAGTTGAGCCTGCGGCCCTCAATGTCACGCTCTCACTAGAGAGCTGAGTTTTCGTATAGCTACATATGCGTGTTTAGGTTTGCAAAAACATTGAATATGAAAAAGAATCGTGGCGTCAACTCGATAAAGACCCCACCCACTCGCAGACCACGCCTTTATCTACTGTCGGCTAGGAAATCAATGCTTTTTCAATACTAGTGATGAAGAAAAACATCTATGAAAACCTCAAAATGCATGAATTTTCACACAATACTAGAGGCCTTCTTACAATTAGAGCACACTTACTATCCCTTACCGCTAAGTCTTCCATGGCAAGGTTTCATTGTAGTCATTACTGTTTCCATGTTCAGAACTGTGAGAAGTTGCCCTAAACATTCAGAAGGCTCGGCCGCAAGTTTTCCTGGCATGTTTTTGACCGGACTGAAAACCACACCCATACTCCCGAAACCTTATTTAACCCTATCTATGTCTATCAGTAAAAAATCAATTCCAAAATGGTAATTACAGAGAGTAAGCTGTGTTCTTGGCTTGTCTCAAGACGCTTTGGTGCTTTTGGAGCGGCCATCTGGTACGGCTATCTTTTCCACGCCAACACATTCCATTATCGGATGGGCGAACACTGATATGGGGTGCGTTTACATTTTATTACTACTTAGTAGGAGAAGGTTTTACGAAAAATACCTTTTAAGATTGAAAATCTACTACGACCACGGAGATATGCTTCTGTTACGGTGTTGTACTGAAACTGGAACGGATGCCGAATTGAATTTATTGTTACAGCGATTGAAAGCCGTGACAAGGGGTGATGAGGCGAAGGAGGTGAATACAGGCCTTACGATCATTTGCAATGTGGAAACAAAAGAATTATTTTGTTTCAGGTGGTTCTTCGTCGTGCTCGTACTTCGGACAGTTGGGGTTTTCATGTGCAAGACGAAGGTGTGGTAACGGATGTGGAAATGTATCAAACCGCATGGAAAGCCAGCCTTCGACAAGGCAGTCGAATTGTTGAGGTTAGTGCCCGAAACCGTACTGTTCACAAATTTATTTCGTTCATCTCCAATTTCCCCGTCGCTATGAAATTTTGAATTCTCTGACGGAAGCTAAGAGAAGCAAAACCCATAGCTCACACAGGGAGGGTCAATGCCTGAAGCGAAAGCCGTATACCTGCCGTTCATTTGTATTCGAATTCATTTGAGAGTAGACTGACTGAAGCAGGAGCTAGCTTCTCCCTTTGTTCTTGTTAGCTATTCCCACTGTCTCCGATCATCCGACTCTTCTGCCATTACTTGGTTTAGAAAAGCTTCTGCTTGATCGCATCCCTCCATCTTATCTTTGAGACTCCTCGTCATGGCCTCCCTTTTGCTTCGAATTTCATCGTTTCCTTAAGTGGCTGACCTTGGCTGACCTTCTCTCCTTGGCAGTACATTCCCATACCATACGTATGTACACCAAAAACCATTCTCAATATGGTGACTGGCTGCATACATGGCGCATCTCAGAAAAAATATTTCTGAAATGAGCTTTTTGTCACTCATCAGTAAATAGGGTTGGTCTATGGTTAGGCTGAATAGTATTAATCGATTTCTGAATAATTACAATTGTTTTCAGATTGAATCGTTCACGGTTGCAACGCTCTCCTTTGACAAGATCTCTGAAATTCTTTCGGAACGAGATACCGTTCGACTGCTTCTGATCTCTCCGGCAAATGACGGATCTCCTAGACGGGGGTGAGTTACTATCACTCTTGCAAAGGAGTTCCTGAGAAGGAAATAAAAATAAATCATTGGAAATAATGAGTGAGCTTTGATATATACCATTTATTTCAGATGTGAAGATCCCCACTGCCCTGCCGTTAAAGGTGCAGAACAAATGCTTACTCCGGATGCGTTTGCTAGACAACCAGTCAGGTAAATGATTGCCTCCCATAAAATAAACGATTTCCTCTCTCATGGTTGACATTCAGTGGTTAGCTGGGCTTTCTTGAAAGGCCTTTTTCGGGCCTAATGCGCACTTCGGGTCAGAGTAGCGGGTCCTCCAAATTGGCTCAATTAGCCTTCTCTTTAGACAGTGATTTTGTAAACCCTCCTGAATTTTTAGGTACATATAGTACTCACATCAGTCAAATTACTCTTATTAGAATTTCTGTCGGAATTTTTTTCTGTAGAAATTACCTGCTTTTATTTTTTTTTNTTTTTTTTTCACATAAACATTTGTTGTTTGATGATCGTAGCTTCGTGCTACTTTGTATAAAGAAAACTATTTTCAGTTATCAAGAAATGTTTCGTATGCGTAATCGGGAGTACGGTAGCTCACCAGGAAACAGTCCAGCTGGTTCATTAGAAGACCGTTCATTTACCTTTTCCACTACGAAAAGGACTGACGGTGCGAGGGCCAACAGCACGTGGTAGGCATGATTTTACTTTAATTGATTACAGTACCGTTACAGTACCGAGTCAACTTAGGCCAGCAGCATTGATTTCTGCCCGAACAATCGAGTGCGTACCCTCTTTTATTTGGACGAATTCCCGAATATCTCGAGTTTAATTTGAAATCACTGCTAGTAGTAGTTGCACACTGCTCAGAAGTCTAGCGTTCATACTTCCATTAACTCACATGTTGCGTCTCGACCGCTTCGCAACCGCGCGCTCCTTCTCTACAATCTCGCTGTCCTCAATGAGATTTTGCACAGAGGTCCATACTTGGAAACTTGTCGAGTTGCAGGACATGTTGCTAAAATTCTCATAATTCTTAAAAAATACAATCGAATATTATTCTTCCGCCTTACTATTTACTGTTCGATTACAGTACGCCCGTGAGTTACGGACAAGGTGCGGCTCTCACTTCAATGAATCGCCAGGCAAGTTCGGTACATGATCACATGTGTCTGATGTTAAACACGCCAAAGACGCTTATACGTGCCCAATCCGACGAACATCTTCGGTCACCCATAGCTGAAGAGAGCAAAAAGGTAGGAGGCCTTTCATATCAAAATTTTCTTACTGTACTTCTTGATATTGGTCAATAGTGGTCCATTAATGCACGCACTCTTGACAACTCTGTTATTAGACCCCTCCATGAGATAACTTTGCATCATCTGTTCGAGAGCAAGACCAATGTTATGCTAGTTGTTTTGAAGGGGACGGATGCAATTTTGGAGGAATTGATATCCGCAAATCTTTGATAGTAGTCTCGCGACATTGAGTACAGTTACCTGACCACAAATCTTTCAAATCTTAGCCTTATATTTCGCGTTCCAACCATCAGGCTCTTCAGGTTCATCTCTACTCTGGTTGCTCAGCTGACCAAATTGCTCTTTGTCATTTGTAATTGAACTGACCTAAGTATTGTTATTCTGAGCCAGCTAGCCAATAGATGACAAAATAGTAGCTACGTCATCGAATAATTAATAATTTTGTAATTGCAGGCCCCTCTATCAGCACGGGTATCAACGAATGAGCAGGATGCTGCCGAATTGGCACGATGCCAACAAAACCTTGAAAGAGCATATCAAGAAAAAAGGGCCCTAGAGATGTTAGTACAGCAACTAAGAAAACAGCTAATGCATGTGAGTTGCTCTTGCCTTCTATATCTAATAAGAGGGTACGTAGTGGTAGTCCGGATACGCCTAGACGGTGCGAAAAAATTTTACAAAGGAAGGGTCCCAAGTCGAAATGGCCATTTGACCATGTCTTTGTGCTTGCCCCTGTTGAGTGCTCTCCGAAGATCACCTCCATAACTTCATTTAGAGAATCGTTTGGCAGATTTTGAATGCAGATTCGACATCAGCATCAAAAAATACGTCCAGCATCGTAGGTCTCGTTTCAAATGGCCACTTCGACTCGGAATCCTTTCCCTACTTGTCACTTGTATTGAATAGCTACTTCTCTTGCAATGTCAGCATACCGCACCATGTGTGGTGGCATAGTCGGCCCTGAGTTGTGGGTAGGATGGCGCTGTTCGGAACAACGTCACCTCAGAGTCTTGTCTCTGAGCATGTTCTGACGAAAAGTGCGCTCTGTAGAGGCGGAGCGACCTTGGCGATTCCCGATGGGGGAACAAACCTATCTCACTGTGGTAGTTCTACTTGACGACAACTTTTTAAGGTGAATGACCGTATGTTGCTCGGCCAATTTCCCGAAGGGAGGGACCTCATATCCGCTCCTGTTTGCAGATCGTCAAACTTCATTACTGTCCTTTTAGTTAGCACATTACCTCTTCCTATGATACTCATTTGGGGAAATTGGATACGTCCCACTCCGTTATAAAAAGAATTCTACTGAGAACAACACTAACGCTTCTATTACGTTGTTTTTTTGGGTAAAAAAACTTGAATCATTTCAGGAGCGTCAATCTCATGAGAATACTCGACGAGAATTGGAAAGGCTCAGGATACAATTGGATAAAAGATGACTCTTATGATTACGGAAATAAAATATGCAATATTATCTTGATCGTGATAAATCCATTAACAAGCCAGTAATTTTCAAAAATGTTTTATTTGATATCGGGTAGTCAAAATTAACAAACAATTGGAGCAACGTCATGAGCGGACGGCTGGTTAGGAAATGTGCTCTCGCTGGGCTGTTGCTGGAAAAAAAACGTCTTTAGGAAAGAGGTTACGGAACGTCCAAACCATAAACCCTCAATAAGGCCCTTTAGAACTATATCGTTCTTACAGATGAGATGAAGTCCAGATGGATTAGGGTTACCTTAGCACAGTCTCCACTCTGTCGTTCCCGCGATGACTTGGAACGCCTCGGTCGACGAAATCTCATAACCTCTGTATAGTTAGGGAAGCATGACCTCAAGAGTGACATCCAATGTGGACGAGATCCACCGTCATATGGATCAGGCTTCCCTTCATGACGTCTTCGAATATGGCGTGTAAACTGTAAGACATTACATGATGATGGAAGTGGAAAACAGTCTGCATTCTGAGTGGGTCCCGCCCACATCTATCGATTGCACCCGCGCAAAATCAATATCTAATCAACAGGACGTGCCAGCAGAAGTGAACGGATATCATAGCAGTATTCTTATTCCCAAAAAAACGTGACATACATCAAACTTCCTATCTGTATGATACTTGCAACGACTACAACCATAACGTTTTCCAGAGTGTGTCTGAACGTGCAGTTTCAAAGATTTTCTGAAAACATAACCTGAATAATGAAATTCGCGATTCTACTTGTTACTTTGATTGCCAGCTGTTCGAACTTGGTTTATTTTAGAGCGAAGACGGAAAGGACGAGTTGAGGCGATTTTCACTGAGAAAACTCGTCCTCATTCAGATCCATACTCTAAACCCGGAGAACGTCCGTTGCGCGTGTCCGTCGAAAGTACAATAGGTCACCCCGCCCACTTCGCGCGCGGCGCATGACACTGAGGCCTCGAGATGACATTACAGTACCACCAAGTGTCATTGGAGCAAATGATTTGCATTTGTCTGTGTTATATCTTTCTTGAACTGACTGCCGTGGACCAAACGCAAAGCGTATACCCCCGTGACAATTGCGACGTCTGTCAAATATCGCGGGCCGGCTCGCCGCGTGCGACGGCTGCGGCGTGACCTAGTTTCGACGGACACGCGCAACGAAGCGCACCCCTCTGAACCCTAATTGAACTAACTTGATAGCAGAAAAGCGTGTTTGAACACGTTCACACACGTTCAATCATATTACATCCACCGATATCATGTTTTTTCCATTAGGATACGTCCCATAGCTCCAACTTCAGTCTTCTTAGCACCCGCTCCCCACCCAGGAGGCACAGTCTGCTCCAAAACTAAGAGTCTACGTCAGGAGGTGAGTTTGGGTAAGTAGGCGGTCCCTCCACAATTCCTGCCAACTATTAGTTTGAGTCATAAGTCCTGGACAAAGTGATAGTGTTGACTTCTAAGGATCATAACTCGGGAAAGAGGAGACGAAAATTGACGCGCGTGGCATTATTAGATAGAGTATAGAAAGCTCTTCGAAATACATATCAAAGACACACCTAGCTGTTTTCTTTCCTGCAACCATGCCCCATGATTTCAAGCCGTCGCAGTTCCACCTCCGCAACACCATCCTTTTTCGTTTTTTATCTGACCAAAAACCCTCGGAGATCGATAGACCTATGAAGGAAGTTTACAAGAAGGTCGCTTCTGCTAGACGCACAATTCACAAGTGGCACACGAAGTTCACGTCGGACGACTATTTTTGGAAAATGAAGAGCGTTCGGGACACTCAATGGAGTTGGATGCGGAGCCAGGTGGAAGCGATCCGTATCAAACTACTCTTCAACTGGCAGCCACCCTTGAGGAGTCAGTCCACAATTATTGGTGGAATGGAGTCAATCGGCAAGGTGCGAAAGCTCGGTCGATGGGTGCCTCATGCTGCCGACATGGCACATTCTCTCCTCACGCTCAAGCGCAGGAAACGGTCAGGCGTATTCGTTAGTAGGTATTTGGAAAAGCTTTTTCATGCTCTACCTAATGATGCCCCGCGCGTCCATTTTCGTCACCTCTTTCCCGAGTTACGATCTCTAGAAGTCATCACTATCGCATTGTCCGAGGACTTATGTTTCAACCTAATATAATAATCGGTCATCACCTTGTCTGATCTTTGGTAATCTTTACATTGTTAACAGGCACCCTGAAAACATTCAGAAATATTCACCTCGCTATAAGTGCCTTCCTCCCGGCCCATTGTTGAGGACCAGCCTCTAGTCCTCAATAATAAATCCTTATTACTGTTTGTGGTAGGTGCTGTCACAACCAATTTGTACCATTAAGGGTTAGTAATGTAGCAGAAGCGATTACCCTTCAGAAATGATCTTTTCCTTTTATTATTAAGTTTTATTGGAAGTTGGAGTAGTCGTACTTATCTCTGGGCACTTCTTCTTGGCACAACATGCACGTTATAACTTTCGGAGCACCATCGTCCATTTTCGAGGAAGCTGTTTCGGATTCACTGGTTTGTACTAAAACTCGATTCCGTTGCGTGTGAAAAAATTTGCATAAAGGATTACGATCACGTTGCCATCCAAAACTATAAACATAAACACGGGCTATAGAAGTTGTATACTTTTCAAGTTGGAACCATGTCACTTTTGACTATTCCTTCTGTATACACAGTACTTTCAAGTTTTGGGAGCTTGTAGATGTTAGAGTTCTGCTGACACAAGACTTGAAGGACAAGCTCCAGGCGAATCCATTGAAACATTCCTCTTTCCGTTTCACCTTTAGCTTGATGTCTCGAGGAGTGAAAAGTTGCATCTGTTTACTCCCGAGTTTCAGATATCCGAATTTGAGCAGGAAACTCCTCACTACCAGTATTACCGACTGTATTTCAGGAATGAAGGGAATCTCTTACCTGAAGCGTCATTCGATGACGGCTCGAGGGATTTCGCCTCCAGATCCACATTCACACTGGAATTGAGATTAAACGTATGTAGATGGAATGCTTCATAGCCGGAAAGATCATTAAAAAACGCCTCACTTCGTTTCGATGAATTCGATCAATGCCATCCATTCACGAACAGCACGTTCATCAGCCGACGATGGAGGATCTTCCAAGGCATCGACGGGTTTCTCAAATTTAACCAAATAAGAAGGTAATTTGTTCGAACCCACTAGATATGGATATCACCTGATTTTACTCCTTTTATCTGTAAAGTAAGAAAGTCGACCAAAGAATTAGGAGTTTGCAGAGGATTCTTTTGTTTTTGCACCGATTGACGCTTTTTCATTTGAGTTCCTTGTTGACCATTTAAGTAACTAAATAGATCACACCTCTGTACAACTCGAAATTATTTGCTTCTCAGCCTGGTGGCCATCCGTCAGATCGTTCGTGAACACGACTCCGAGACCGAGACCGTTCTGCGCAAAATAAATACATTGCCAACGTAGTAAAGCTAATTAAATTTGGTTTTGAATTAAAAAAAAAACTCTGAGAGTTCTCGAAAGTCCGGGTAGACTCATTGTAAGACGCTTTGCCTGTTCATACTATTTGTTATGACCACGTGAAGACAGGGCCGCTAACATTCCCCTCAAAGCTTCTTTTATACTATAAAATTTGGATAAATTGTTATCGACTTCCTCTCGCTATCTCCTGCACCCCCTCGCCTTGGAGGAGTTTCGCTGCAAATCGAGCACCGGGTCCGACCTGGTAAGCCTTCATATCGTAATGTTGAACTCGAATACACCTTAAGTTCTGCTACAGCCTAATCGTCGTGTATAGGGAGGTTTTAGCCGTTCGTCAGCTCCCAAATTTTGCGATGCTTACCAGCAATTTTCCGAAAATTGTCTCATCCAGTCCCGGATAGAGTTTTACGATAGCGTACTTGTGATTAAGTTGTGGAGGGACCTAAAAATGAAGACTTTTCGTCACCCATACTCCACTGCCCTCGCTGCACATTTCCTATTCAAACAAGAGGATAGAGTTTTTGATCATAAAGCGTAATGAAGGGCCCTTCTGGGAAGAGAGCGTGAAGAGATCGGTGTTTAAGAAGCTAGGGCCAAATAAATTAATGAGGGAAGCTAGCTGGACCTTGAACTGAGCTCCTGGTTCTGCCCGGACGTCGGCAAGAGTTTGGAGCAAAGACGATCTCGTAACTTTCGTTCCTATCTGAGTTGGGTACTTCGTCATTACAATCCCATTAACTCGCATCTTTACTCATGCTGCGACTGGGAGCGCTTCCCGAACTAATGCAGGAGAAAACCCACATACCAACGGATTATTTAGGATTACTAGTCGTAGAAGAAGTGTTTGTTAAGCGATGGTACTCACCATCGATTAAGCTGAAATCACCTACGCCACCGATCGGCAAGCGGTTTGAGACGAAAATTGTGCGCTATGTGAGTGGCGTCGATACGCCATTATCACTGGCGAAATCAGTGCTTTTCACTGAGATACTCGACGAGTTCAGCCATGGCCGTAACCAGAACGTTACTGTAGGCTTATGGTCAGTCGAAGAAGAAGGCCGAGTGTTAAAGCAGCCATCAAAGGGTGGTAGTGGGAGGACTGAGGAGTGGGAGGCTTGGTTCACTCGGTTCCAGTGCATCCTCATCCCGTAGATCCGAGAAGTAAGGAACCGAGAGCTCGATAGCTAGAGCAATTCTTCTCCACTTCTGGCTAAGCCTACTTGAACTAAGGAAGGCGGAGGTAATGAAGTCCCACATGTAGACATGACTATATTGCTACTATAATTATTCCATTACAATAATTAGGGCAGTTTGGCAGACATTACCGCAGAAGTGTTAACCATATCGCGTCCAAACAAAATCCAGCCAAGTTTCTTGGCCACTTTATGCGGAAATAACTTTTGCCCTTGACAGGAGGTATGGTCTCTTTTTGATCAGTGCTTCCATAGTTCGGCGTAAAGCGTCGACGCCCGACGCCTCTGCGCCAAAAAGTGCTTGAAGCCGAACTATGTAATCTTCCAGGCGCCCTCTTCAAAAGGGAGACAACAACCGCCTCCAGATTTGAACTGACGATGTTTTTGTACACTGGCGAAATACAGTAGAGGGATTGGAACTGTAGCATATCTGTTTTTCCTGGAAAAGGTTCTGCTTCAAAACCTTCACCGTAGTTTATTAAGCCGTAGACCCGCACAACCAAACCGGAAGGGTTATTTGTTTTGAGACTAACGGAAAGGGGATTGTGCCAAATGAGATCAGAACTTCATCACAATACTTCATTTTGCATGTGCAGCTGATAATGCAATTGTCCTCTATAGGTGAGTAACATTAGGAAGCTTCGAGTTCTAAAGTTGCGTCCGGCATCCATGCCGTACGCAATTTCTCGTCAACCGAAGCGTCTTACTGCACAATCTTTTCAAGTCATCATGCAACTGCTTCATCCTACGCTTCTCTTCCTCTTGGTAATTGTGTTGTTTTTCTATTTTCACCTGCCCTGCTTTCTTGTTTTTCTTTATTTATGCATAAGGGATTAGTGTTCTATCACTGGCAGGTTGATATATTGCGCCAAAGAAACACATATGTCATCTTGCAGATTTTAATTTTCAATCTAGATGTTTAGGGTTCGTTAAATAATTGAATATAGCTGTGATGTCATTGCTCAGCTTGTCGACTCGCCAGCCAGACTTGTTGGCCCAGCCAGCAACGGATGAAGGGGATTTCAAGCAATTTCCCAATGTTACTAGACTTGATTTAGAGGCTCCTAAAAATGTTAGCTTTACATTTATCGTTTTGAATATAACACTCCGTTCCAATTTAACGTCCTACACCTTTCTAGACGGCAACTGCTGTTCCGCACGAATTAGCCGGTGAAGAATCGAGGGCCCGAAGTCGAGTCGTTGATTACATAAATGCGCAAAGAATGCTCGGTGGCACCGCTCATGCTGAACAATTGCTACTGTAGGTTTTCTTACTGTTTATACGAGCTTTTCCCTTTTTTCGCTCCCACCGAAAAGTACGATTAACTAGGATGAAAGGTCATGTGGGGCTACATTTGCAAGCTGGGAAAAATCGGCTTTGTTTTGTTTTTATGAAATTTATTAACATGGGAGTGCTTGTGCACAAATAGAAAGAATACAATATGGCTAATATGGCTAAGTTATTGTGTACCAGTCGCTGGACATCCAGTTGCATGTCCTATCAGGCTTTTCGTCTTCTTACTTCATTTCTTTTTCACCTGTGTTCTCGCTTTCTATCGAATTTAGAACAGTAATTTATTCGTAGCCTGTCGCACGGCATTTTCATTATCTATTTCATGACAGTATTAACAAGCTCCCTTCCTAGCTTAATCACACGGTCTCATTGACTTTTTTGTAGACATGCTTTTTCAGTGAGCTGAACTCGGCAGCACAAATCAATCGCGGCCCAGATGGTATTTTTGAGTCGTCACGTCTTCATTGGGACATGCTTCTGGGACGGGATGAAAGGATTTATCCATCCGATTATCTTAATTTCGATTCTAAAATGAGGTTCTGAAGTTTGATACTTTCTGAAACCTTATAAAATCATTGTCTCTCCATATATTGCGGAGAAATCCGAGTTTAAAATTACTTTGTTGTAGCTCACCAAATCCCTTGTCTTAATTTATTTCGTTACAGCATGTAATAAACCTTATCAGTTGAGCTGTTCTTGCTTTTCCTATTTGTAACTCTCATTCAATACATGACGCGTTTACAAGCATATTTTATAATTTCTGTAGACAATATTTTCCACTTGCAGCATCGCCCAGCTATGAATACAATGCGTCCAGGAGCCTCAGGTATCATTCCATTAATTTCTGAAAAGAATCCTCGAGCAGTTGTCACTTTTTGCATCAAAAGTAAATATTCGCAAAAGAGAAAAATGCTGCCACGTAGCGGCTGATGATGGTAGGCTGTAATGGTCACGTTACAAAAAGGTGGTTCACTCCTCTTCGATGATTTGGCATTGCACACTTGGTTCGTGGTCTTTTCTACGTCTTTGGACCATTCTTTTGCAGCTAACCTCTTTTGAGTTTGTTCATTTTAATCTCCACAAGATCGTTGTCCCTTGTAAAGATTCGTTCTATTTAAAGATCATAGGTGTTATGCATTCATTTTCATGAAGGTCGTAAAAGTGAGCGTTAGCTTTTCCGATGAAAATGCATCTCTAAATATCCACCTCAATCTTCTTTATCTTGTTGACGGCAGCTGCTCGGGGTTTTTTACCTTTCTATTCATATAATCGAATTTGCATATGTGAATTCCAGTTTGAATAAGACGTTTCGTTTTTTAGTTATGAGGCCAAATCCATTGCACATTACCTTCAAGAATCCCAACTGGCCAGCTAATTTCATAACTCCTGAGAACGTTCTTGAATACTTCTGCAATTCTGACAATGCATTTTACGACAAAGGCTCGTGTAACGAAAACGTGCGAATGCAAAATATTTCACGGCCGTTGGAAGAATGCTTGCTGTGAGTCCTCGTAAGCTTTTTCGTTGATCACTGAATAGGTGATACTTCAGAAGGACCGTATTTGACTACCGATAGCACGATGTTTTCGATGATTTGTAAAGTCTCCTTTAAGGTGTAATAGCTTTTAGTTGGCCAACGTTTCGGCCTTGTCTACTTCGTCAAAGCCTGAAAATCATAAATATTTGAGGTTGCCCTTACAGACGTCACACTTAATTCAAGCATAGCCTATCTATAGGAGTCACAAGGCTGAAATGGCGTAAGAATGAATCACATACTTCTTTTGAATATGCTGACGAAGGCACCAAGGCCGAAAAGTTTGCCAAATAAAAAGTTTCAAAAAATACAGAATACAAAAAAAGATTACTTCAAGAAACAATTTCCAGCTCAATGACTGGTATCCAGTACGTGTTGTGGAGTGCGCAACCGCCACTTTATGTGATATGTAAACATCGGCGAAATAATATGCAAAACGGTATGCGANAAGGTTTCACGATAGCCTTTCGCTCAGAAAGCATCGATCGGTCAGCATTCCAGTTACTATATTAAATTTCCAGTAACACCTCTTGCGTATTATTACATCATAAATGGCACCGTTTATCAAGCTCCAGACGTCTATACATTTGTTCAGTCACGATTGCTCGGTGCTGTTGAGCCTCTTAAAAACGCTTTCGATCAGGTCGTGCAATATTCGAGGTAGGCTTGTATCCCTCGGTCTTCTGGTCATTAGCTGATCTATGAATCCCATTTTGAATCTCTTCTACTGTGTCAGGTATAATGTAGCCAAAGGCTATTATTGGCAATTTGATAAGAAACCCGTGGTCAAGAAAGAGGAGGAGAAGGTCTGTGCGTATCCCATGCTGTTATTGTTATTCTCCTTCTATCTTTTAGTGATTTGTGTATTTGGTGTGGGTAATTATATTTAGCCAGAGGAAGAACAACCACTTCAAGCGCGCAGCACTCACTTCCAGAAGACGCGTACTCATATGTTGATGCAGAATCTCTTCGAAATGTTCCCAGCTGGAAATGCTTTGACAATTTCGGTTGGTGTTCTGTTCTTCAAGAAATATGAGGGGTACAAGTAGTGATAGCATCGTTGATCAGGCTTTTATTTTCAGAAATGAGGAATGTAATCATTCTTTATAATTGCTGGGCTTCCCTGACATTGTGGAGTATATTTCTGTCGAAAAATTATCGATCAGTTTTTTAGGATCCTCCTGAAAAATCGGAACCAATGACTACAGAAGAGAAGCCGGAAACCAATGGAGACGCTGCTACGCAACCTGCCGAAGGAACTGCTCCGCCGCCTAGCACCTCGGCCGTCAAATCAAAGTAAAGCGACCATAAAGAATTGATGGTTTCAGTCATATAGTTGTCACCAGTCGGGTATGTAGGTGGTTCTTTTTATTTTTCTTGTTGTATCTTTGATCTCATCAGTTCATGAAGGTTTTTTTTAATGGTTGAATTAGGTTTCGGTTGCGAACCATCCGAACAATGATAACACGATGGCGCAGCTGTCCTGTTATCAAAATTCAAAACAGAATTTCATCCGGCTCCGATGTTTAGTTTGCCTTATTAATCAGAGCTTCTATTTAGAATTGATCTTAACTTCCCGTGTGACTTTCCTTTCATGGCTCATTTTAAACTTTTTATTAGCAGTTGTCTTAATGAACGGAGTTCTGGCCAGAAATGTTGTGTTGGTGCGTTGTTAGTGCGGATTTCCCCGCGCCTTTCCTACGAAATACCGGATTTAAAATTCAAATTAAAATTTTAAATCCGGGATTTTCGTAGGAACAATCTTCTTGCTTTACTTCATCATTCGCGATCTTAACGAACTTTTCGGCAATGGAACAATCAGCTATTGCCCAAGCTGAATGATGGTTCAAGAGGTTCAGAATGAGCAACAGAACCCTTGGAAATGATGAGGAACGAAGAAGGTGGTCATCGGATTTCAATGAGCGGCCCTCCTAGTGGATGGAAACGAGAGCCCAACAACACGAATGCGAGCTAATGTCTTCAATGTCTACTAGTCGAGGACTCGTCGTCTAGCAAAAGTGAGGAATTGGCTGAAGGGTCTCCTCACGAACTCTCCCTTTGCAACAAAGCAGATCGTGTATTTTCACTGAATTCTTGCAATGCAATAAGCGAAATCCATTTTGAAGGATCTCGTCACGGGTGACTATTTGTAGGTACTACTCAAGAAAGTCAAGAGGAAGGTTTTAGCGTGTCTCTAATGCTTCAAAAGGAATACCAAGAGGTGCTCACTTTATGAAGGCCATGTAGTGTTTACGGTGGGGCGGAACAGAATCATCCACAAGGAAATAGTATCAAATGGCATTTGCTACTGGTGGAATGACAACGATGAAAGCCAACAGTGACGGATCCGGACAAGAAGCGGTTTAACGTCAAGGTCAGCGGTCAGCGACGTCTATTTGGCTCAACTTGACCGTCTTCACGCTGCAACTAGAGCGAAACCCGAAAGAAGAACAATACCGGCCACCACGCACCATGATAACGCTCGTCCTCATGTTGAACGTCGTGCCGTTGAATTGGTCGTAGTAGAGGAGGGAATCACCTTCTTCAATCCAACGTTCCACTAACAGAAGCTTCTACCACATCAATAGATAGTTCATGGAAAAATTGGCTAGTGAACGAAGCTTGCGACGAATTACATGACTTGATGGCCGTGTATGTCTTGATGTCGAGACGTGTACCTCTCCTAAAATCAGAACTTCTTCGCCTGTGGAATCGATCGACTGCCTAGCGAATGGTAAGCAGTGTTTGGAGATAATGGTGAGTACGCTTCGAAGCAACTATTTAAATGTCTTTTTCGAATATTTTATCGCTCCTGCGGAAAAAAGCGATAAAATATTTGTTAAATACCTTTGCTAATAATACTTCTACTTTTGCTAACGTTACTTCTGCCGTTGGAAAAATTCGCAATAATTGTGCCTCAACACAATAGCTAGACTCATAAATTTTACACTGAAGTTCTAGGTGCGTCCAGTTCTAACAATGACTTCCTGATTTGAGAAGCGTACGATAGCGCTAAAATGCGAATCGCACAGTGTCAGCAGTCGCATTTAACACACGCTTTGTTCGGGTAACAAACTTTAAGATGTTTGTTGACCTTGTTGAGATCCAAGTTAGTGTGGATCAACGATATAAAACTCTATTAAGGTGTCCGGAATGTTTAAAAAAAAACCTATGTCTCTCTACTGTGAGGGCATGTTGCGCTCAAGCAGGACTATAGATTCGAGAGCAGGTAAGGGGCATTGTTGATATATCAATACTACGGCCGACAGTACTTAACGTCAGTCATCAGTCGACGTTGGGAATAAGTAGTCATCCACCGACCGATGTGTAATCGATAAGACTGCCGTAGCCTTCTGCTCTACTATTACGAAACTGATCGTTCCGAAACTGAAAAGTAGATATCATATGATATCCACACAAGAAATAATAGGTTGATGCATAATTACTGCGGATTTTTTCGCGGCTTCTTTCCTCTCGATACAGTTTCAATATTGAATTCGGGATTTCATGGAAATAATCTCCTTGCTTACCTTGACATAAATGTGTCTGGAAAGTCATCTTCATGCACGCCACATTATACTATATTACATTGAGTAAGGTTGGAAGGTGGCGCAGTCATAAAATGATCTCAACGAACTTTTCGGCGATGGAACAGTCAGCCAAATCCGAATAAAGAATGTAATCTGCTTCTACGTTCGCCCTATTCACCAACAGAAGCTCCTATGGATGATCACGTCAATCGCCCGTTGAACAGTGGCTAACGAATAGAGTTTTCGACGAAATGGGTGACTTGATGGCCGATGTAAAGGCGTGGATCGCCTCCAAGAGACTTCTTCGCCTGTGGAATCTGACTGTCTAGCAAACAGGGAGCAATACTTGACCTAGGTGGTGGATATGTTCCGGAGTAATTATTTGAACATGTCTTTACAAAATATTTCTATCGTTTTTCTAAATTAAATTTGCTGGAAGAAATTCGCAATAATTATGCATCAACCTAATAGCAATGCCTACCAAGGGACGTAAGGCCACAGCTCGCTACAAAGCGAGGCGCACTCCAGCAGGAAATGAGCTCACTCTTCCTCTGCTCAACTGGGTGATCCACTATGAGATTCTACGAGAGTGTACTGCGATGAACGCAAGAGCATTCTGTTGACAACTGAAAGAGACGGTGTTGTGAGCCGTCATTTCACCGATTACAAAGAAATTTTGATGGTGATGGGTAATGCTTGAACACATCATGCGAGGACCTCGATACATGGGCAAGAAAGGCTTGGGGTAAACAGACTACGTCACTCTACACATATTCATCAAACAGCCCATATGACTACCATACTTTCAGAAACCCACAGGTCTGCTCTAAAAGGGGAAAATTCAACAATCATCGGAAGCCAAGTAGGGAACAGATAAATGAATTGCGTCCCTTTCTGTCGCGCCCCTTTTCTTTCTGGATGGTCGGCATCAGTGCACTGTCCGGTTGGTGGAGATACCTTGCCGCTATGGAGGGCCACTATCTTGATTTCTAATCGAATTTTATATTGTGTTTTATTTTGTGTTAGGAACCTACTGAATCTTCTCAAAAATTTTCGGGCACCCTACTCATATCAGAGCGAACCCACTACTATCATGGCATAAAAATAAGCGACCATGTTTTACATTTTGTTGAATAAGATATTAGATCTTGAGAACTTGAGGCTAAAGAAATTGCAAATTTTCGGANTGTGTCTGTTGGTTTGTCTGTGTGTGGATGTATGTGTATGACCGCAAATTCGTAACTCCGGTTCCTTTGGACCGAGAGAGTTCAAATTCAGGAGGAGTACAGGAGACAGGATGGGAACACTAATAGTAAGTGACAGGACTAGACTCCGCCCACGCCCACAGTAAGCGTGGCGTGAGCGAAAATATTTAATTTGAACCAGTTGGGCCGCCACTGAGTCATCACTTTCAAGATGAACACCGAAAGGTCGAGACTTCTGGTTATAGGCTTAAACATCAGCACATACTGAATACCATTTGCATGCCCTGTAATTCCTCTGTCAAGTTTCGTATTCCGAAAAGTATTGTTTGTTCCGAAGAAAGTGCAGTGGTTTGCCGATTATTAAAACTCTTCTTGCGATAGAGTTTTAATAATATACCGGGCATGGATTTTGACAGACTACATGGTAATTGCATTGCCCAACTCACCTCTGTCTTGTTTGCCCATTCCTGCATGAGTCAGAGAGTGAACGAAAAAAGATGACATCCCGTCATGATTCAGGGTTTTCGTTATTTTCGCGAAAAAACACAAGTATCACATAATACGTACACACAGATCCACTGTCAGCCACAAGTTTTCTTGTTGTTGATTTGTATGGCTTTGTGGTAAGTACAGTGAAAAAAACTCGCAAAAGTTCAGGTCCAACCTGTCGATGGCTTGTTTTACACGAATGGCATCAATGATCCGCAACGGGTAGGCAACTCATGGATGCCGTCCGTGTAGATAGAGGACAGTTTATAGGCGAACACTGTGTCGATGCCGTTTTTGAGGACCTGCTTGTCGTCGAAATTCTCAGTGTGCTGTTGGATAGTAGAGTCAGCTGTATACGGAGAATGGGGAATACAACTCGAAGTTTTTTCATCCGCTCTGGCTTTGTGCGGTGTGGCATTGTTCACAAGCACACAAACATTCTCTTCTCCTGACGTTTGCGACGATGAGTTTCGTCAATCTTCTGCATTAAGGAGCGACCAACTCGGCTCTTCCAATCTCACACTAGAAGCATGTCGTGATAAACAGTGCCTGCTGCTGACTAATACACACACTGGTAATCTCCTTTTGGAGGATCGCTTGACTTTGGACGTCAATTTCGGCTCCTCTTCAGCTCTTGTCGATTGCCTACTTGCCGACGGATCCTTGGAATACAAGCACTTCTCGCGTTCTCGGGATCACTCACCTTTCATAATACGATAAGCTTAACTTATCCGGACTCCAACGACCGATTTGGTGCTTTGTGTCGAGTCTTCTCAAGGCACTTGCGACATTTCCAAAAGAAAACTTGTGTGTTGATGCAGTATTCTGAAGACCTTCTGAAATTCACTTGAATGTGCCAGAGCCGCTACATTCCGTCGACCTCGGTTTGTCGTCCAATCTCTCTTCATCGTCCGAAGAACCCATTCTAAAATCCTCGCGCCACAGCTTAGTAGTGGCATGGCTTCAAGCTTGCTCAGATGCTTCGTGGGCCAGACGAGACTCGCACAGCAAAAGTGCCAAGTAGTAGGTGGTGTTGAACTATCCGAAAACCATACAGACGCTATGATAATCAATAAAAAAGATTAATCATATGAGGTGTACCTATACGACGTCAGAATAGAAGCTCCCTGCAGCTGAGTTACCGTCTTTCGAGAAGAAACTCCTAACTTTTACACACTCGATGTTACTTTACCAGAATCAATCGAACAGAGATCTCTCAAAGAGGTCATGAACGAGTGATCTGGAAGTGTGTGGCGTTGCCTATTTAGGCAATTGGCTTTCAGAAATAAAGCAACACTTGTTCTCTGCATCAGGAACGTTGAAATCAAATCGGTGATGAAAGAGATGCATTGATAACAATCAGCTTTTTTTACTTCCATTTTTCGAAATCTTTTCAAGAAGGGTCAAAGCATGGGAAAGGCTACAACCGTTCATCTACTCATTGTATAGCAAGCACCAGTGGGTTACGCACGCTAACGCGTGCACCACATGTCACTACCGCTTACCTACGACTTGTTAGAGGACCGATGTAAACAGTATCGGTTGCCTTCTCATTTCGTCCCCACCGCACTCATGTGACATTCACACTCGCCATCGTGCCTACGTGACTTTTGGAAGGATGCACAAACTGGCATACAGACATACACACCAAGTTACCCCTTTATATATAGAGAGATTATTTCATTGATTCCCTCTTTATTTTGGCGAAACCCCTCAAACATTGCCAACCCCTCGTGAAAATGACGAAACAGAGGCCGTCACTGCATGTTGCATGAACGGGCTTCGGCGTACATGACGTAAAAGAAAATCAATAGGCGAAATAACCGCTATTTTTCATCGGTCAGAGACGCAGAGATTCACACCCTCGTTCCTGGCGTTTTTCTCATACCAGGGAACAAATGATACGGATCAGGGTGGCCTGTGATGTCTTGTGCTTTGATAACAGGAACTGCATTAAAACCATTGTCGCGGTAGCTAGCAAAGCCCAGAACGGATACGGTCAACCTTTGGAATATGCAACATAGCGGATCGTCATTCCTATTGCGATTCCAATCAACGTTTACTGCTCGAGAAAACCTGATTATTGTAGTGATCGGAAATACCCCTACGAATAAACAAGTTTTTTCGCTTGGATATTTTCGCAGATTACATCTCAGCCCTTGTATTGACATCAAGTTACTTGTTGCGGTGGCAGTCTTCAACTTGATGCTGATCCGTAGTAGTTCCTGGGATTTCTCCCAGTGGCTTGCAATGAGTCTGACCCTGATGACGTATAAGGATTGTTCTTTGTGCAATCTTAAAACGTATTGGTGGTTTGACACCTTCATTGTCCGATGAGGAGTGGCCACTTCGGTCTAAGCACTTGGAGTGGTACAAGCGTTGGGAAAAGGATTCCTGATTGAGCGTTTAAGTGGCGCCTCCATTGATGGGATGGCATGAAACCTGAAGAGCCGTTGCTCACAAAGAAAGAGAAAGTGGTTGCCATGAAGTTCTACCTCCGATTACAGCCCAATCGTAAGAAGTTGCCGGTGGCTTGTGAACCTAATGAAGTCCTCATTCCTGCTGTGTAGCCAGTAGTGGCATCGGTATCATAAGTCACCTTTATCGGCTTCGTATCTGGCTCCACTCCGTCTACTCCACCAAATATGGCTATCTTGCGATGAGATACTCATTTCTATTGGATTGCCAATAGTGACGTCGGTAGCCAGATGTCACCAGAAGCCGTTTGACATTTTATCCGACTGCTTGCCATCTACTCATCCTAATGGTGGCCAACCTATGAGAAAGCCTTGTTCTTCACTTGTCACCACCCATGGCAAAGTTCTTTCAGCTGCCACACGTTAAGCACCATTTCTATGCGTGGGATTCTCATATTATTTCATCGAGCCTTGAGGATTGGTACAAACTAGTACTTTTGAAAATTCATTTTCTCCTAATGAGTTATTCCATAACGTACAAAGGGAAAGAAAACTCGTTGATGAATTTCCCGGAACTGTTCAAGCATTCCATTTCCATCCCAAGCGCCAATCCGAGAATGTGTAGAACATTTCATTGAGTTGCAGCAGCCAACTGATTTCAATATCATTGCATCTCTTCCAACACACGAAAAATATTAATCAAAATAGGACAACTGGCCAGGTACGAACAGTGGAAGCTGCAGGAAGCTGCATACATAACTGAAGAAAAAGCGACAATTTTCTTGAATAATCTTACCAATTTCCGTTTAAGTGTTCATAATTTTTCAAAAGATGTAACATGCGTCAGACGAATGTGCCAAGCGCTGCCAAAAGTGTGCAATGCGCATACACTGAACATGATCGTGAGAATTGTGTTATTCTGAGATAGCTCATAATCATGTTTTGTATTGGCAGTACACAATGTTCCGTATCGGCAGCATACAATACTCAGTGAAAGATAATTGCTAATAATTGATTCTACAGATGGAATTTTGAAGGACTAGTAGATATTTCTGAAAGAGACAAGTAACACAACAAGATCGGTAATGCGAATTCCCGGTAATAAATCACTCAATAAATTCGTCATAAATCTGCAATAGTAACGAAATACAGAAAGCTGAACTTTCAACATTTAGTTATTGTAACCCGTTTTTAACGGAGGTAGACGATTGTGAAATAACAACAGCTAAAAGTTGAAAGTCAGGTATTCATCACAAAACGCAAAACAGTTGGCATTCCGCAAAAAAATAACCCTCATAAATAATGCTCTTCATAAACTTCACGACTAAGAAAATCACGGTTCCCAGTAGTTCTTTCTCGAACGCTGGGCACGTGACCTACCGGTATGGAGATCACTGTCATACATGCTTGTGTTCTCAAAAGGGTTTGTTGAAGGGTAGGCTTCTAAAAAAGAGTGGTTGATTCCAATGGCGAAAATGGCAAAGCGTTCACGTCGGAAATGAAAAAGGTATATATTAGTTCCGATCTAAAACACTTCGGGATTAAACTCCCATTTCTTATGAAGCAACATTTACATGAAAGTAGAAACGTTCCTTCAAGTCTGTTGAAATTGTAAATAGAAGCTGGATTAGCTCCATCCTACCTAGCTCATGCCTACAAATAAGTAGCTCTGAATCGAATTTCTTACGTACGTTATGACCACTATTGTGCTCCTGTATGAGACTTTTCGATGAAATAGCATTCCCGCGATCACTAAGACGTAGCATTCTCTCAGTTACGAAAAATCACACCAATGGCTCATCCATTTAAGAGCTCTCGAGGAAATGTCACACTAATGTCCAAACTCTGCTAATTTACAACATCCCAAGTTTAGATAACGGCTGTACCAAAACTGCATCCTCTGAACATTTGCGAGAAAGTTTAAAATTGAGTTATCTGTAGTAATTTGCTGTAGCTAAATTCAAAATCACATTAGATTATCATGTTTTTATACTCACGCAGCACAATGGTGATAATTCCTCAGTGATTATTCGTCCATACGATGAAGCACAATAGTTTGGCCAAATTAATCTAATAATAGTCACGTATTGACATCAACAAAGTAAAATAAAACCTGATATTAATTTGGAAACCTGGCATAACTCACCAAAAGAGGGTTCCCATGATCTATATCCGCTGGATGATTCATGTCGGTGCCATGGTAATGGTGAACTTGAAAATCTTGTTCGTCTAAAACACCAGAGGTTTGGTCGTTTTGTTGCGTTTACGGTTCGCGATGCAGTTTTTCCCAAAGTGTCGAGTTACCCGTTTGACACTTCATTTTCAAGCCTCGCGATCCGAACCAACGTGAGGCTAGTGCGTTTTGCCCGTAACTGTCGGATATTGGATTTTAGAAGACAATGAGTTAATTATAAGTATCGAAGCTCACTCTGCCTCTGATGGCTTTGGTTGGGCAGCTCGGTTAGAGGAAACTACGCCACTGGACAATGAGACCGGACCATTGAAGGGGAGGACAGGAGCAGTCGTAGAACGAGATGCATCCTGAAATTTGCGGATGCAACGGACGAAAAAATAAGAGCCGGGAATAAAAAGTAATTAGAAAGTGACATCTGATTGTAAAAGAGTTGACTCACAATTTNTTTCCAAATATTCCACCATGCTAGACTTCCGTTTCCGCGACTCTTTGCGAGGAACCATTTCTGGTTGCTCTACAGCTGGTTTTATTTTACTTGGAACCGATGTGTCGGAAGTACGTGGTTGCAAGTCACTGCGAACGTTGAACGCCTCAACACTGCTGCTCTGAATAGTGAAGCTGATACATGAGACCGCTATTTGCCAAACAAGAAATTATTGGTTTTTTACTACGAATGAACGAAGTTGGGTATCACGTACCTTATCTGGTGGCATTCGTAGTATTTTCTCGTTAGTCTTACTGGAGGAGGGCTGAAACAATCCCATTCTTTACAAAACCGATCCACTATTATTATAAATCATTTGAGTTATTAATGACTGGAGTAAAATAACAGAAGAATGTTTTTTCATACAAAAACGACTGGAATTAACAAACTTCTGACGAATAATGAGGCAAAAACCGTATCTGGTGTTTCAAGAGTTGTGAGCTATAAGAATAGAGAGGGACTGCACGTCTGCCTTCAGTGAAACCCGATTTCGCACACATCTACTTAATGCAGTGGGGAATTGGGGCCAGATAAAAATTCAGCATTATCAGAGGTCAACAACAGTTCTTACACCAATCGAATCTGCATTTTTTGGTAAGTTTTGTTTTGCAAACTCTTGCGAAGTAAAATGAACAAATCAGTATTCAGTACCGTTGCATCGTCCCGACTATGCAGCTGTGTTCGCTGATTTCTTTCTGCGACATCGGGTGAACATGGCACATCCGCTAAACATCAAAAAACTGCCAATAAAAACATAATCGGGTTTGTATATTTCCATCCGCCTATTTTTTCATGGCTTATACTGATATAGCTCATAACTTACAATTACACATTGCATTTTCCCCCACAGTCTTCCTGTCGCTATTGGCCGCACTCTGAAATGAAGACCATAAACAGCATGTCAAGAAATCACAACAACTGGAACTAGTACTTTGGATACATGGTTGCTTCAGACTGATAACGAGTATTATGAAGCAATACAATTACGTCTTAGTAGTATCTAAGAATAAAGACTTTGGAGCTCGCTGTCACGGGAAACAGAGGGACATAACGACAAATGCGCCGACTATAGCACTGCACACGTCTGCCGTACTTTCCGGTTATAGCCAAAACAGAAATATTGAATCGCAACCAACAAACTTCAAACATCGAAAACTGCATAAGCAAGAGAAGCGGGCTGTTTATAAGCGTACATCGAATATTTGCAATTACGTTACGGGGAAACTGATTATAATGTTGCACATTGGCAAAGCAGCCAATATGCGACATTATATTCAGTTTTCTCGTTACGAGCAGTTACAGCTCAATCTGCGAGAATATAACGATATCAAACCTTCAACTTAATGCCTTTATCAGGCATAGGCGAAGATGACACTGACACTTGTTTGCCCACAGGACGTTCAATAATGACAGAACCATTGAATGGGAGGGACTTCTTAGTAGGCACAGGGAGAGATGCCTGCAGCTTTGGAGGAACAGAGATCGAATTGAAAGAGGACACTGTAGGAGAAGAGTCTTTCTTTCGATCCTGAACACAAATCGCTCGTCCCACCAAAGAGTTTGCAGAATAGCAAATAGGAGATTTTAAACACAAACCTTCGGCAGCCAAGAAGAAAAAGGAGAATCGGGTTCCTCAGGAGGAGTTGGCATAATGAGAGCAACTTGTACTGCTGCATTGGATGTCACTTTGGCAGCTGTTACAGGAGACGTGCCTACCTGCTCTTCCTGCGTGTGACTCCCAGCTGAATCAAATCAGACATTCATCTTCTAAGACAATCAAAACCTAAATTGTGTGACCAGTGCAGTAAACTATCTTTTCACATTAACAAGAGTATTTGGCAAAAAGGATTACTAGGAACATGACAGTGAGCACTCTTACCTGCTGTTCAAATAGGATTTGGGAACCGGAGACGAAATCTCACCTGAATCTGTAGGAGTGCACGATTTCCCATCTGAACCAGATAAAGCGGGGCTGCTGACGAAGACAGGTTGCTTTGGAGTGTGATTCTCAACTAAATGTGAACGCTGGATCGCGAAAGTATACAAAACGATAAGATACCAACCTTTGTCTCGAGATTTTAAATGTCCACGCTTTGACGAAGCCTTTTTTAATTCTTCTAAAATGCCGTATGAGATTACAAATAATTCAAGAAAAGAGATAAAGACACCTTTGAGCTTTGAGATTTCAGAAAGATTCCGCTCTGCATCTGACTTCCAATTGTTTAGCTCAAACTTGAGTTTCTCACTGTCCTTCGAAAGTATTCGAGATATACGGTCCGAGTGATCAGCCCGACGCTGCAGCTGAAAATATCGCCTCTCTTAGATTCTAATTCGGTCCTGACTCATCTCATAGACAAAAATACGATGAGCGGTTGAAGAATGAAGGATAGGCATATTAATCACACTATTTAGCGGTTCCAAGATGAGGCACAGTACAAAGTTTGCATTTCCGTTACAAAAATTTGAGTGAAAAACTGCGGCTATGGCTACGATGGCGAACATTACTTTGGAGATGTTGGCCGCTGCCTTCTGTTTGGCAATATTCACAACTTACATTTGCACATTCCTTCCGGCATTTTTCCAATAGAACTGTTTTTTCCGCTACCACGTCGGTTAAGTGCGATCGCATTTTATCACTTATCTGACAGTGTGCACACTTCGCATTATTTGCTAAAATTGAATATCGATAATTGAGGAGTAGGCGAGATATTATCTGTGGTGACAAGCGTAACGTACCAACATATAATGTATCATTCAACTTCCGTTCTGCTCTGTCCCTAGATTTGTTGGCAAGAATTACGTCGCGATCCCGAGCACTTATCTCTCTAAAAGCCAAAACAGTGGTTGCGCTTCTCGCTGTACATCGAAGATATGACGAAAAAACCTCAAATATCCGTCGGCACGCTCTTCCACTGCCTCCTTTTCCTTGATGTGCAGGTCGATTCGTGTCTGAAGCAGAATCGAGGATGTAACGACAACAGCTCCAATCATCAGGCTATTTATCCTTACTAATATTCTTTCTAATTATTTGGCCACTAGGGAAGTATCTATTTGAGCAGGCTTAACCGGTGATTAATTTTCTGACAAAAACACGATGCTGTTCAATCGTAGGAACTCTATTTAGAAAATAATACAAAGCATAAGACTAGGAAACCTACTAGGAGAAGACGGTTTTTCCTTTCGACATCATCTATCTTCTTCTGGATTTCTTCTTTTTGAGCCTGGATATCATAAAAAGATTAGAAACACATTATTATAGCTACACCTCTTATTATTATTCATTGAACATAACTGACATTACTTGGAGATAGTTCTGCTCTCAACCTTGTCTACCATAAGATAAGCGCTGCACTGACAGATAGGCAGACAGTAATAACAAAGAAGTAATTCGAACCATATTGCAGTATAATATACCCTTTGAGCCTTTGATGGAAGGAGATAGAGGGGAGGGGTCTCCACTTTCGAATAGCTATTTCCCAACCTTTTCAGGCCCCATCTGAATCGCACAGCCATCACGTAAGGGTAATGCAGCTATTCGGTAGGGAGTCACATCATGAAGGACGCTGTAGAAAAGGTAAGATACTTACTGTGATATTATCTATGCTCTTCTTTGCCTCTGCAACGAACTCCTCGTGATAGAATGAGAACTCTCTCTTCAGCACTCCGATAGCATCGCGCAGATGCCGAAGCTCCGAAGTATATTCATCACTACAACAAGGTCAACACATGAACACGAAACATACTTCAGCAGCATTTTGGATAAGATGTAAAAGCGAGTCGAAACCAACCCAAATTTCCTAATAACAGAATTCATGAGATTGATTAAAGCATGGAGGCGTTTATTTTCTTCTTGCACCCGATTCAGCTCATCAGACTGTCGTTTCATAAGCTGCTGACTAACCATCAAGCGACGAGAAATATATGAGGGCACAGCGAAGGGCTCATCGGTCGATAAGCTGAAACCGTTGCATTTCAGTTTTAGAATTTAGAACATGAGCGATATTATGAACACACTCACCCAGCAGTAAGCTCTGCTTGGCTATTTACTAATTGATCGATGAGGATAGAAAAGAAATGTGTTCCGCCCATTGTTTGAGTACCACATTCAATAGTATTCGAACAATAACCATTGGAAATTAGTGAATTCTGAAAAGTTGACCGAACAGAATTAGGTAATAGGGCATGGTGTAATAATATTCTAGTTACAATATCTAGAGGATTTCTTGGCGGTTCAATTGGAACTACTTCGTACACGTATCCTTTCCGAAGCTTCTTAGGTGCACTTGTCAGGTCAAACTGAAACTGTTCATTTCAGAAAGAATTTATTGCACTAGTGCGAAAGGTTACCTTTGTTGGGTCAGAAACATTATTTTGCCGTTGTTTAGAGGACGGACGCGGCGCTGCATCTTTCGCCTTATTTTCAGACTTTTTATTGCTAGTTGCAGCCTTGAATGAGTTCAACATGAACTTCGTGCTCCTTTGAACAGAAGCAAACACGAGGAAAAAGGCTAACGAAAAGCTGTTTACCTTCGCCTTTGCGCCAGTTCTCTTCCGACTAGTTTGTTTCTGTCGTCTGCTGCTCTTATGAGGACTTGGAGTGGTTGGTGTTCCAAGAATGATATCTACAAAATGTTTGGATTGGAAAAAATAGAATTAAAACGTAATGCGGAAAATTGAATTACAACCAAAGCTATCAACTCGAAGTGGTCACACTGGAGTGTTAACAAATATAACGACTTATTAATATTAAAAATTACCATCAGCAAGTTTGGTTTTATCAGGCGGCTCAGTAGGGTTAGCTTCATCAAGTGCCTCAGCGGGTTTGCTGCCATCAGGTGCCTCAGCAAGATTACTGTCATTAGACGCCTCAGCGGGTCCATTTTCAACAGGAGCGGCAGATATACTTCCATCGATCGGATCAGCTGATACGCTTTGCTCAATCGGTCCAGCAGATATGCTTTCATCAACCGGCTCAGCAGGTTTACTTTCATCGGAAGGCGCAGCAGATATACTTTCATCGACAGACTCAGCAGATATACCTTCATAAAGCGGATCGACGGATATAGTTCCATCAATCGGCTCAGCAGGTTCATCAGGGGGCACAACGGATATACGTTCATCGACCGGGTTAGAAGGTCTACTTTCATCAGAAGGCACAGCAAATATGCTTTCATCGATTGGCTCCGCAGATATACTCTCATCAGCCAGCTCAGCATGTTTGCTTCCGAAAGAAGGCTCACGACGAGGTTGGTCGATGGTACCTTCCAATGCAGGAACTAAATTTTGCCATTAAAAAGCATGAATGATCCACACAAAAAAAAANAAAAAAAAATCAGAAAACCTGCTAGACTTTCAACCGCAGCTCCGATGGCCATAGTTTCGTTGGACACATGTTCCGACTTACATTCCACCTTAAGATCCTCCAGAACGACGGAATCTAAACAAAAGTTGATTGCTCAACACAGCCACTGGGAAAGTGAGCATCTAAGGTTGGTGAAAATACGAAGGTTCGAAGTAAATAGAACACAAAATACACATAAGACGCCTGAAGACTTTACCTTTTATCATAAGGCTAAAATATTCGAACGAACCTTCGGGAACCTGGACGAAGGAATTGGAAACTCTATCATATACGTAGTGATCTCCGAAAAACTCTGCACACTTCCTTCGAGCGCAGCGGTAGCGCCAAACGAAAGCTCCATAATTAGAATTGGCCGGCTTTTGTAGTATTTTCTTGTAATGGATAAACTGTGGGTCTTCATTCGAGCCGCACTTCGGACAAAGATAAGGATCATCGACTTGCGTATCTGAAATTTCATATATTAAACTTAATAATTCATTCGTTCAAAATCCGGCTACTGCTTTTCCCTTCCGGAGAGTTCAATGCCCTACTTCCGAAGACAATAACCCACACAGAATTTTAAATTAAAATAGTTTTACCGTTTGACGAGTCGTCAACAGCTTTTTCCTCGATGGACTCTTCGCTTACACCGGCTTCATTCTATAAATTCCACATAGTACTAAACCATAAAGAAGTCCAGATCGTAAAAGAAAATCACTACCTCTTCCATCGGTGAAGCTTCATTGGAGCTCGTACTAGAGTGGCGCATAGCGTCAGCCACTTGCTCTTCTGTCGGTTCCTCTCCCTCAAAACTGTCACAATTGGTTTCTGACTCTTCCACTTCCTCCTTCGTTGAACAAGGTGTGAGCACTTCCGTCGAATTCAGTGCCTAAACATCCGAATGAAGAAAAAGATCCGAATGAATAGCCGAAACTTTTCCAGATAGCCCATCACTTAAACAATGAATGCATTAAATATATGTTGTGCCCGAGCAACAAGTTTCAAGCAACGGGGTAAAACAAAATTATTCGCATTCCAACAGGGCATGGGTTTTGAAACATCAATTTTTTCATTTATTCGATCATGAGGTTGTACATTGCTATTATCCAACTAATGACTCAATATCGTCACCGTTTTGGAAGTAAAAGGAAGGAATTGAAAAAATTGGAAAAAGAAAGGATTTGGGGACGGGATAGTAGAGCAGTTTAGTTCTGACACCAATAAAGAACGAATCTTTACAAGGGTCAATCCACTGTGCAGTGGCAGTGAAACATTCACCGAGTTTTTTTTGTGTATTCAAAACCGTAAAAGCAAATTTATAATTCATCAAGATGTTCTCCTATTTTAGCATTACTTTAGCATAACCCATTACCAACTAGTTCAACTATTGTCTACGTTTTAATCGACCTTGATGAGACATATTTTCAAATATGTATAGGCCCCTTGACCAGTCGTTAAGATACATTCCTTTTCACCAAACAAACTAACAGTCTGGCTGATGGATTCCAAAAAAATCAGTCTGACTATAAGGATATACATCAACAAACTCTTTTACCGAATTGAAAGATGATTTCAAATAAGATGTTAAAAAAAGAAAAATTGAAAATCAATCCTTAAAACCAGTGAACAGTAAAAATAAAAACCTTTTCAAGAATATTCTTTTTTCAAGGTCATTTGATTAGTATGAAAGCAATACAAAACCGGGAGAGGCACTTCAAAAAAAACGTGTGTTGTGGCTTTATTGCGTTTCTGCTGAGAAGACTACCGAAGTAATGAACGGCCGAATCAACAAAGTCCACAGCAGCAGCCATTTCGATACAGGAAATCAATACGTATCTTAAGTCAAGGAAGGATTTTACGTTCCTGAACCCGTAATTTCACGTTTAAACAGAACGATAAATGTCCGTTCTGATAGCGATGAATTACGTCATGACTATTGATTGATATTGAAGTTTTGCATTTACACGATTGAACGGGTTTATGGTTTTCTCAATTAGCACTTACGCACTTATCCCGGTTGACCCCTTTGTACCAGGAACAGATCAGTACTCGTCTTACCCTTGCTTGTCAATCCCACGAGTAAATGGTTCTCCCAATCGATACATATCTAATCTTTGATATCGAATCTTGCATTTACACGATTGAACGGGTTTATGGTTTTCTCAAGTATCACTTACGCGCTTATCCCGGTTGACCAATTTGTACCCGGAATAGATCAGTACCCGTTCATACTTGCTTGTCAATCCCACGAGTAAATGGTTCTCCCAATCGATACATATCTAATCTTTGGTCGAGAGTTCCACGGGTTGCAGATTATAAAGAATGCGAGCCTATTAGCACCCGATCTTGGATCCGCGCTCATGAGCTTTCCATAAAGCTTGCGTTCGCAGAACCTCTCCTAAAAAATCGACAGGCTTTCTATACTTGAATGTAGGGATTGAGAACGACTCATAGAATTGTATACTCCGGAAGAGTTTCTAAAGAGCAATAAAGGTAAATTTCGAACGCGAAATGATGTTCGAGGCCAAATAGAGCATATATTGACGTGCCTAAGACGCGGATTGGAGCGTGATGCAACCAAGGCTGCGATACCAAGTAGCGAATATATTCTCGAGAACTACTTCTGTCAATAATTTATGCTGAACTCACTTCACAGTCATTCATTTCGGGGTTGTAACCGCCGTCGTAATGTATGAAGAAGGCTAGCTGGAATTGAGAGCGCCAGCGTTAATACTAGGTGCTGAAATTTCACCAATTACCCAAGGAATGGGATTTCAATCAAAGTCGATTCGTAAACACGGCTTTGAAAGTGCAGAAGAGCAATGTCATCAATGAATCCAAATCAAACCCTAATTCTACAATCATAGCCCACTTTTTGTAGTGCTGCAAGGATTTGTTTTCGGACAAAAATGAACAGAACATCGAAAACTGTCGGAAAAATGCTCGACGGTTCAAAAACAGTAAATATCTACTGGAGGCAGCCAACTTCATAATTTTTAAATTGATTCGGATCAGATGCTGCAAGAAGAACTGAGGACATGAATTTTGGAAACCACCAAAAATACTGAATACTAGGTTGGAGCGCAACTTTTTCCTGGTTTACATAATCTTCATTTATTTAGAAACTAAACCATAACTTATACAGTGGCGGTTATGATACCCCCATCCAAAAGGTTCGAGAGTGTTTTACATTGTGCTAGAACACTCCAGAATAATTTCGAGAAAATGCAGTTTTTGGCGGTTTCCGATTTGGGAGAAAATTACGTACCAATGCCGGACAAAGTCGGACAAAGTATCACGTTTCGCCGTCAAGGGATCGGGTGGTCGAGGGGATGACCTTAGGATCGAAACCGCCTGCCGACCGCGTACGCGTCAGCACGTTCGGCATTGGCGAGGTGGGGCGTTGGCGCAACCCCGGTCAATGCCAGTCGCCCCGGCCATCTCCACCGCCAAGCGTCAGCGCCAAGTCGTCGTCTCTACTGGTCGATTCTGCTGTTTCACGTCAGATTCCTTCAAATGCGACTGTGAGACATTCACAAAGGAGCACATATTGCTTCATGGTACTGTTACGCATGTTTTCGGCTCGAAATTCAATGGAATCCAAGTTTCCTCGAGGATCACAAGCGGCAGAGAAGGCAGGGCGAGAAGTGCCGATAACAAGTGGTGATCGATACGTACATTCATCGTTGCCTATCGAACATAGCTCGTCCCCATTCCTCCGCCCAGTGCTGTGTGGGTGGCGAAAACGCCAATCGATAGCAAAACACTTCGTAGATGTCATCAAACAAGGAGGAAATGAAATATTTCGGCCAAGGTCGTTATGTGATACAGTTGTTCAGAGCTCTGTAACCGCTGTGCAGTTCGGTGGACGGCTATGATTTTAGCTGTCTGTTGAACTGCAAAGCGGTAACAGTGCTCTGAACAACCGGTACACAATCGCTTTTGCCGGAATGATTCACCTTTTTGGGATCTGGGTGGTTTTACCACTTCTTATGGTAATTCTTTGGAATAGAAAGTCACCGATACGATGAATGGTAGACGTATCGGTGGCTTTTTATGGCTGTCAGATGTGAGGTCGGATTTTTCTTGATTTTCTTGGGGAATTCGAGAAGGAGTTCAGAATCTGTGAGAAATGAAAAATTTAGAATAGTTAAAAAAACCTCATAAATGAAATATGCCGACTTTAGCGAAAATATCTTTTCAAAGCTAATCGACAGAGACTCGTTGTCCATTCTCTTTTGCTCGTAGCAGCTGTTGAGAACAAGCTAACGAGAAGTGGAAAGGCTGCTATGGGGTCGACACATGAAAGAGCCCCTTTCCTTAACGATGAACAGGGAAGGGTCCCTTCCAATTTGTCATCTTCACGCTAAGCCGGCCAGTCCAACTAGTTGGTCTCAGTTCGGACGAGTTTTCCGTCTTCACGAAAGCTTCTGCGAGTGATGCGGCTGTGTAACCACCATTGAGAATATTGGATTTCTCATGCTCCCAGTGTTGGGTACTCGCCATAGCTTAGGGAAAGACCACTGTGAAAGAAGCTTGTGAGATGACAGTTTTGTCACCCACAGAAGGACCTCTTCACAAATGTCCTGCGAATTAATCTAAACCCTTTTTGATGGAAGAACTTCCTTCTTCTTTTTCTCAGAGTAGTTCATACGGCCCTCACTGGGAAGGCTCGATGGCTTCGGTTCCCTTTCGTGCACGACACCGCGCCCAGAGCCGGACACATGCAGGACAAAAACCGGTGCACGTGAAAGGCAGTGCCACCACAGCGCCTGCATTTCTGCTGATCGATGACGATGGCGAATTCGATGGGTCTGAGGGAAGGCTGGGGACTGATTGGAAAGGTCGGCTCAAACGATGGGACCCTACTGCGAGTTTTAGTCTTCGAGCTACGATCGAGTACGAGCCGTTCGTAGTAGCATCGCCGAATCTTTTATTCTCCAAAAACTTTATAAAGAGCGAATAAACCAGTCAAAGTGTCGTTGGGGTCAGCACTTTGGCTGGTTTTTCGCCTTTCGTCGAATTTGTGAAGGCTGGTGGCCCAGGGTTAACAGTTATGGTTACCTGCCACACATTAGAATCAGCAGCTGTGCCATAACTGAGCCCGACATTTACTGACTACCTTTTTCGGAACTTTCTGCTTGACTTCCCCACAAAGAAAGGCCTTAGGGGAAAGGTTCTTGCGCTGCTGATTCTGCACCTATGCTTACTACTGTGCGGGAACTCGGCGAGCAACTTTCAGTCCCTTTCAAGGGCAGTCTCCTCTTAAAAAACTTTTTTCCACTTTTTTTTCTGCCGAGAAACCACCACAACTTACCCTCGGTGGGTTTGATTCCACCCACCGAGGGTAAGTTGTTTGAGCTGAGCACCGATCACGTTCAGGGCCATAGCGTATATGGCAAAAACACAAGCACCTGATAGTGCTACCAGAGCACCGGCATCATTGCTAATCGAAACTGATGGGGAATTCGTTCGGCTCGTTGGGGAAAGGTGAAAGTTGCCACAGATCATGGAGCCCCGTTGCGATTTTTCGGCTTTGTGCTGGGACCGAGTATTATCAATGGTTTTTTGCTTTTTTGTAAAGTTTTCAAAGGCAAAAGTGTGGCGGTGCAGCTTTCTAGTGAAGCCATGTCCTTTACCGCTATGACGGCAAACCTAGAACCCTCCTAAGAATATTCTTTTTCTTTAGAAAATTTTTTCTTTTCAAAAAACAAAGGGTTTGACTTTTGAAAGGTTCGTTTCCACGGGCTCAGAACCCGTCCCGCCCAGGGCCATATCTTGCTGCCAAAAACGTGAGCAAGGGTGAGGCAGTGCTAGCAGAGCCCCTCCTTTTCTGCAGATCGATAGGGAATTACTCAGCCTCTACGAAGGGGGTATACTGCTTGGAATGAGT